GTAGACATTATTGGTCAGGTTTTACTGCACAAACATGAAGTTCCTATCCTTCCACACACTCCTGCAGGAGGGCTCCCCAAAAAGCCTGAATATCTTCCCCATCACCCCCGCCTTGAAGTCAGCCTGCCAAACACTCCAATTCAAAAATAGTATCAAAACCTTCCATCTCCAATACAGTAATCCTTTTGAAAAATAAGCCCTGGCAACAGTTTAATACAAACAAGGGGCTTACATGCTTTCTCCCGTCTCTACCTATTATCCATTTGGGCAGAGGACAAATTTAACGCTTGCTGCCTGGCAGTAAGCGCACAGCAAATTACTAGAAATCGGAGATAAAAAGCTGTAGCTAGACCTATGTGCTTGTAACATATTAGTAAGTCCAACTTCCCTTATGAGAATCTTTTCCAGAAAAATATTATCAGAAATTACAGATTCGTAAAGCATTTTACAGAACGTTTGTATTTTGCTAGCAAGCTTTTACCCCACTATTTTCTTTCTGACAGATACAGTCCTTTCAAGGTGCTCCATTTCTCTTAAAGTCTGAGATGAAGAACAACTCCCCTAACAAAAATATTTGAGACTACTTACCTTGTGGCTTTGGATTTGAAGCTGAACGTGGGGACTGTCTGACTGGCACACTTCCATTTATTCCCTGAGCCGCTTCATTGTGCACATTCTGCTCAACTAGCCTGGTTGTGGCACTCGCTGTACAAGGTCTAGACAATACTAAGGGCTTTGGACAGATGCTGCCGCCTGAAAAACAAATAGAAACAGGATTAAATATAAGGTAGAATGGCCATAGACGTATTTATTAAGTGCTAACACTTCTTTACAGAGAATATTAGAATACTCGTCTTCCCTTTAAGAGTGTCTCACCCTGAAAACATGTTTTGCCTTTTGCTGAAATTTATTCTGTTGTTTAACCCTTGAAGAGCTGGATATAAAAAAAGACTTCCACCATGACTAGAGCAAGTTCTTCTATAGAAGGATTACGATCTCTAACAGACTTTTTCCTATCTGAATTGCCAATGTGCTTGTTCAACAGAACTACAGAAAAAACAGTATTTTTGTTCAACCATTCTATTTCTGCATTCAAAAAGTTTATTTTATTACAGAAGGTAGCATCCGTTAGCTAAACGTATTGCAACTCTTTTGTAGGAAAGGGCTGCTATTGTAAGTATCAAAAAAAAATAAGGGCAAGGCACAAAGCCAGCTGACTGTTCTATTCATTTCTTCCTAGCGGAACGAAATTTATTCCAATTAGAGGAGGATCAATATGCTGCTATTGGTAAGAAAGCTGGAAGAAAATACAAAGGAAAACATATTCAAACAATGGAAACTGTAATAAAAGCAATTATTAGATTATGATTACACAAACCTAAACCATGTACTTTTGCTTCGGGGTGTGAAAGCAATTGGTTCTGTACACACAATTAAAGACTTGAAACAATAATATGAAGGACCTTGAGATCTCACTTAGGTCAATATTCATTCATTTTTAAATCCAAAACCCACTCAACCATTTTATAAGGTGATCCCCTGATGTCTTTTGAACAACTGGTCTTCAGAGTCTGGAGCCTCTGATCTAACCCATCTCCCTCTCCCATGGCAAAATCCATCATATCAAGCCATTCCTAGCAACAGCCAAGCCTGCTCTTAGAACAGCAGTGGAAAGAGATGCCATAGCTGTTGCTCAATGCTGATTAAAGATTTTTCAACATTTTGTGGATTCAACAATATTTTCAAGTATTTATGCTTTAGTTCTTAGAAGCTTATTTTTGCTTTTAATCACTGAAGTAGCCCTATACCAAGAAGCTGCCCCTACAAACATGGAGACTTGCAGAGGTCTATGGTAAGATCAACAACCCACACTACCAAAGCACCAGTAGTCAGATCACAATGCATGTAAAACACCTGCAGCTGCAACATGGCAACTTTCCCTGTTCCATTTCATTAAATTGGCAAGGGATCTCCCAAGAACATAAAGGTGGCTGGTCCCAGAATGATGCTGGTTCCAGAATGATAATCTAATGAGGCCCACCATGTACAGAAGCTTCTCAGGCATTTATCTTAGGCAAAAAGTCCTCAGATCTGTTTCCTTGGGTATTGCTCCATAGACAAAAATTTGTATTGTACTATAGCAGTAGGAGCCCTGTCCCACACCGTTCCTCAGTGCCTAAGAAGGTACCTTAAGTACCATTTCTGTCTCCCCTATGGAGGTGAGAGTACTGAAAGCTCTTAGACAGACCAAGGTCAGGGGGTCATACCAGCAAGTCTTCCTTGTCTACATCAAAAAGCCAACACACTGAACTTCCCTCTCCTACAGAATCCCATACCATAATGTAGCAGTTTACACTCCAATTGGGGAATCTCCAATTCAGAAACAAATTTAAGAAAGACTAACTCCTGCAGGATTGGTACAATGCATAAGTCAGGCAGGCAACAGAACGTAACTTATAAATCTACATTCAGATCACTCTTATAACTTTGCAATGAGGGTTAAAGTGTGAAGCAATAGAGCTTTTGAAAACTATTTTGCTTGCAGATTTGACAGCTAATACGCTTCAAAATCTCCAGCTCCCCGAGTGCAGGTCAGTAAGGGGCATTGCTGCTGTCAGTTGTTCAGATCAAGCCTGGAAATCTCTATCAAAAGGGTACCTTATTTATTAAAAGGATTCCTTAAGAAAACAAGGTACTGCTGAGGTCACAATAGGAACTTACTTTACACATGCAATTTTATCAGGGCACTTGGTTCTGTTTAAGGTTATCACTCATGATCACTTTAAGCGGAGGCCAATGCAGAGCTGCTGCTGAGAACAGGTCACTCTGTGGTCTGATGGTCCTCCTCCTTCCCCATCACCATCTGCTCCGGCTTCTGCTTCTGGCTACTCCTTCCCCTATGCCAGCACCAGCGTTTGTTCAACAACACAGTGACATGAGCAGCAGAAATGGTGCAGGTGAAAGCTAGAGTATATTTTCGATCCATTTGACCTCATGGCAACCTGAGCACTACTCCTGGCACAAGGGAACAGCCAGGAATACAGCTGGAAGAGGACAAGACAGCTCCACTCAGCAGTAGCCTTTACTTACATCAGCCTGAAGCAATCATTTAAATGCAATCCCAGTCCCTCAAGTAAATATTCAGACTTAGATTCTACTTGGTTTACATGTGCACACACACGGCCTTAATACAAAGTCCAGCAAAACCAGGAACAGCTGAAAACAAACCTTTAATGCAAAAACATTAGGCTGCTCTAAGAATTGATTTTGTTGTCGGCATCTCATGCACCTCACTAGATTGGCAAATATTAGTTGCATTCAGTGGGCAAAAGCCATTTTTAAAGCTTGTCCACTGTAATACAAAATGTAACACAAGCAACAGAAAAGTTTGCTTCTCTGGAGCACAATCTTTTGCAGCTGCTTAACAGAAAACAAAAGCTCTGAGAGGTGTTCTGACCCAAGACCTGCTCTGGCTTCACACACATAACAACTCAGTATGTGGGGGATGTAGG